GGGGTGTAAACAGGAATCAAATTTTGTTAAAAATACAAATTGGATATTTTAGGTTTAAGGAAATTATGGCAAAGGATTAAATAAACTATAATACGCTAAACACTATATGTATACTATGTATTATAATAAATACAAACACTGATATCATTCCCTATATATCGATTCTAGTTAATCGAGGAGGCTGTAGTTTTTTCAATGAGGTTGAAAAAAAATTTTGCCAAAAAGTGCAAACTTTACATGCATGGTATCTTTGTTGTATTTTTTAATACCGATTAAAGTCAAAGTATCAAATCTTCGTTAGCTCGTGATAAGCCGCGTTTAGTGAGAAAACTTACGTGTGACGTAACACGCTCGATTGTTGAGAACAAAAATATTGGTAACATTAACACGCTACACTCTGCTATGCCGCATGCCGGGGGTCTTCGTTTATAGACATATATGTATATACGTGACACAATAAAACCTCACAAACAGTACCGCAAACCAACTGAAAATCAATACGAGAAAACTTACAGGACCTACGTAGGCAGAAACGTCTAGTTATGTATATATATATATATATATATATATATATATATATAGATATATATATATATATTTGTTGTATATATATGTATATACGCATATAGCTTCTAACTACAGCAGTCCAATCACACCAGATCAAGTGGTGGTACTTACTAACACTTTCAGAGGCTTAATCCTGAACAACTAGAGTTTGGAAAACAGAAAGGAAGATATAATTATTAATTCATCAAATTCGACAATTAAAAATTCTGGCATATCATTAAATACCTAGGATTGTGTTTCCGAGATGCACGGTGCATGTCTGACGCATGCACTACTGACATTATCAATATGGTGATTAATTAAATTGATATAAGAGAAGGCCAAGTCTATACGTATGACGATATGTAATTTTTATTATTGTCAATTATTTTATGTCAATGTATCTTTCCTCTTTTTTCTATTAATCTTTTATTCAACATCGTGAAAACGAATCGCAGATCCGTCGAGTCGCTTTCAATGGCTGAGATAAAAATTCTTTATTTCTTGTTCTGGATCGAAGCAGACGGATAATCAAGGATGCATTCTTTTGTTACCTATCAACTTCTATGGGATCCCTCCCCCCATTTCACCCTCTCTCTCTTATTTGCACTTTTTCAAAATTAACTTTCTCCTTTACTCTGACCATTTCTCACCTTCACCGTCTCTCTCTTCAAAACTTACGGATTTACGCCCGCAGCAAATCTTTCATACATCCGGAAAAGAGGGAAGGACTTTTGATACGCGATAAACGATCCAAGCTTAACGTAACAGTCTCGTTAACGATCGAGGACTCTGTGTGTACCGGTTCTCTCGTGCCCACGGGAAGTCTCGTTCCAAGATTTACGAGTATTCCAATGGTTCCTTTTCCCGACTAGAGTTTAAGAGGTTAGGAATATATCTCTGCTTTTATCACACGGGCAAAAGATCTTAGGATCGTTTACAACTAATCCTGGACGTGACTCGGGATTCTCGGTTCGCTGCGCGAAAAAGGAAAAGAAAAAAAAAATAATGGAGGAGTGATCGACGAATCCGATTTCTTTTTTTTTTACAACACTGAATGGAGTTCACAGAAGGGTCGGTTTTTCACGATAAGAATAGTGCACTGGGACGATGAGATCTACTGTTGCGGAATACGATGACGGGGATAAAGACATTTGCCACACGGTGATACGTGTGGCTGATACGTTATCGACAACTTGTCTGGTGGATTGACTGCTGCTGCAACATCCTGTTGAATCCCATTTTCCAGGTAAGATACACCCATCTCCGTGGGAAAAAAGATTGACCTTTTTTTTTTCAATACAAGACTTTTTGTAATTATCGTTGCTACTCCCACTTGAATTAATACATTTCTCGTGCGATTTCACACGCGTCATTATGTTGCAGAGACTCATTGTCAGTAACGATGATTTAACAATAAACAAAGACATTACCTAAATAATCCACGCATACTGTAACAATACGTGTGAGGGAGACATAAAGGAAATTTGAATTTGGTTTTCATTGGGAAGCAGCCTTGTTGACGTGTTGACTCTTAATTCTCGACGTGACAGCGGTTACGTATTCCAAGTGCCTCTTTTTGTATATACAATTGAATTCCCACTTCCCAATAATACTGAGAGTAGTAATCAATGTGAATGATGATAAATCAAAAATAAAAGCAATTTATGTAATTGGAAATAATAGTCTAGTTTTATAAGAAACTTTCAACGTCTTCGGGACTCTGTCGATTTTTCATCTTGTAATTGTTACACAGAAATGGGCATTGTGGATTCGCGATATAGTCAGACGCATGTGATCGTGAAAGACAAGAGTGATAGACAAAAGACAATATGTACGGAGAATGTAGATACGTGGACACGTAATACGGTATCAGTCTATTCTAGTGCTACGACACAGAGAAAGGTCACGTATAGGCGCCGTGCTCCGACGTGGTTCCTGCAGTTCATGCTTTATTATGTCTTCATACAATGCGCTCTCAGTAATGTTGCTTGTACAGGCAAAGGTAACAAGAAAGCAATATATATATATATATTGACTTTAAAAATCGAAATACAATTATTAACGAGCTTATCGATAATGAAGAGTTACGTATGTCGTCTCCATATATCTTTTTATGTTACATAAGTTACACATCCTTATAATTCGATTGAATCGTCTCAATTGTTTGATCGATGAAAGGAAGCGTGATAATATTCAAATGATTACATAGTCCTGTTACAACTTTCAATTTTTATATGTCTCGTTACTCGCCCGTCTACACTTTTTTGTACTGTAGTTTCGACGTGGCTCAAAATCTTAGGCTTGATAAGCTTTTTTTTACATTGATGCTTTTTTTTAACTTAGGCGAAAGCTCCATTATGCTTTTAGGCTTTTTTTTTATACATTAATATTATTATTACTGATACAGTCATTTTCGATCTTATTTTCATCTCGTTGACACTTGGTGTTTCTTAAGTTTTTTTTTTTTTTTTTTTTTTTTTCATACAAGCATCGATAACGCACTTTTCTATGCTTTTAGGCTTTTTTTTTATACATTAATATTATTATTACTGATACAGTCATTTTCGATCTTATTTTCATCTCGTTGACACTTGGTGTTTCTTAATTTTTTTTTTTTTTTTTTTTTTTATTCATACAAGCATCGATAACGCACTTTTCTTCGTGATTTCGATGTGCTGCGTGACTTTCAGACTTTAAGTATAGGCGTTTTCTCACTGGTGCTGTTGTACATGTTATAATTGCAAATTATGAGAGGTACTCATTACTGTAGGGTGTCTAGATATTCGCTGTGTGACAAGTAAGCAAGCAATATATGCCAATGGGAATAATTAACGAATTTGTATGAATTTAATGTAAACCGCGATTAACAATTATTTACAAAATTTTGAGACGGCAGGACCCTTTGTATAATTAATGTCAAGCCTGTTCGAAGGGAAACTCAAAAATATTAAACAACACTTTAATTAAGTTGTAGTAAGCTAAAAGTATGACTAGATTTTTTCTAATTTCGTCATTTCTCCTTCAATCGTTAAATTTAATCCTTCATCAAAATTTTCATTACACACTATCTGTCGGATTTGAAAAGTGGTCAAGGAAGCATTACCACTGTTCGATAATCATCAATTGACATTAATTTTAAAGCTCAAGAAGAAAAGCTGGAAAGCTTTCAACAGTCATTAACTTATCTCCATATCGATTCGAGCATCCCTTGTAAATTACCCTCAACTGCATGTTTTCAATGAATGTTAGTTTCTGAACAATATTTTTCAGAATAACAAAAAAAAAATCACAATAATTAATAAAGCAGCCAATTACCTTCGCTTCGTTATGGCCAACAATGAAGCACGTACATTTACACCGGAATATGTTCTGTAATTTTTTTTACCGGATACACGAGAAGCAGCAATATCAAAGTGACTGTACTGATTATAATATGGGGCCTACACGTGTAAAATAAGGATACGCAAAATTATGATGAAAAAAGCCACTTTTGCAATGATATTATATACATGTATATTCATGCAGACGAGGGTAAAGACAAGGTGTAACAAAAGCTTTGTTTTTAAATATAAGAGAGAAAGAGCACGCCGGTCGGTAAGTAAATTACGAAATTTACTATTAAACCTATCAACGATCAAAGAACCTTAATCTACGATACATCAAGCATGCACTTCTATATACATATATATATAATGAATATATATATAGTCTCGAAAGTGCCGACAGCCAAAGCGTTTGTTACACCGCCTGAACGAGTCGCCCCCTCTGGTACAGACTAATTGTCGTCGAAATATATTTTTCAAAATATTACGTGGCTACGTATTCAATAGCAAAATCCCGATATATTAATATACTCTGGATATATTATAATGATGATAATAATTATCGAATTCACAAAACGTAAAGAGACAGTCAACGAGCAAGATACGTGCGTTAATATACGTAATATGTATATTTATATTATATATATATATTCCTAGAAAGAAAAAAATGTTGTACCATGCGTTCTTCGTAGATTATTTGATCGAAGCAACATACAGGTTTCATTTTATGGGCCGATTACGATATAACGTATACGCAAATTCGGAGAGACATGTGAAGAGGGAAGTGCTTGGAGTAGAAAATAGGAATTGATTGGTATTGTCGTGGGGTGAGTTGTTGAAAAGAAAAAGATAGAAAGAAAAGAAAATGATAATACGTGTCCTTGATACTCGGCTGACTTGCCTAGTAAGATAATTAAATTACAAATGGAAATAGGCAAAGAACGTATATTGACAGAAAAATAATGGAAGAGTTATGATACAGATTTATGAATGAGTGAAGAGTAACTGTTTGGTTGTTTGGTAACAGACGCGAAAACCATTTCCAATAGTTTGAATTATTATTATTAATTAACGGGAATGAGTTTCCGCTCTTAACCCAATTCCATCATCCAATAATTTTTGATCTACTTATTGTTTAATGCGCTTCGGAGCTGATGGGATACCGGTGAAGTTGGTGGATTCATTATCAAGTGATATGAATGAAGGATACGTTAATTATAGGATATCAGCAAAAGCCGAGAATTACTGTAACCTCAGTTCAGTGTCCGCCCTTGATCTGTTTTTCAATTCTCTATTATTCAATTTCAGGGTGCATCGCAATTTCGTTTCTTATCAACGAGAAATTTATTAGCACGAAAAAAATTACCAGATCGGTTTGTAGCTCAAAAATTTGACATTAATACTCAAATTCGGATTTCGAGAGTAGAGAATGAGTCTCCTAATGCATACTTTCTTGGCCATTTTTCTATTTAATTATCTTGACTAATTATCAATCTGATATCTAAAACACAGAACAGTTGCATAGGCTATCATTTGATTTAGGCATATAGTATAATACCAATGGTAAGTGAGCCTTCTAAATATAGGAATAAATTAGTAGGCGAGAAATTGACTAGATTGTATCGTTTGCATAATCTACATTAAAATCACTCTCGTAATATCAACAATCAGCTTAAACTCTTTAAACGTATATAAGAACAGTTCACAAAGATCCAGACGCATAGTCCAGCACCAAATAAATATTACTTACAGTATATCATATAAGGAGTCTAATTTTGCAGTATCCTAGAAAATATAAATTTCAGGTAAATATACTACTTTCAATAACAAGACCATACAGTGATGGTTCAAGCTCTAAAAATAATATCACCCTACCTCCTCCTTTCAGCTACCGGACAACATTAATTAAAATTTGTCTGTAACTGTAAACGTGAACGTCATGTAATATCAGCTATATCAAAACACGTATAAGCTTTCTCTACCGTAAGCAATTCCAAAGGATGCAGTTCTTTATGAGAACTGTTAAGCTCTGTAAGCAAGATAGATTTTCGAGAAATAAAAAGAGGCCAGGATTCCTGATAGACCCTGAACGTATCTTGCTCATACGTACCGTTTGCCTGCAGCTCGTGGGACGTGAAAGTTCAGATGAGGAAACTACCTAACAGTCTATCAATTTGAAACTACGTGCAAGCTAACAAGAAACTAATCGTGTCTGATCCATCTTAAGATTTGCGGGACCGGAGGGCGGACAGCGGATTGAGGCGGCGCTTTGGCGTACTTTCAGTGGATGAGGAAACGGTTTTTGGTTTGGAGGTCTTTGGTGTCTTGGAAGTGTTGGCTTTGCCCTGGCTTCCGGAAGCGGTTTTCAGTGATTTGGAGTTATTCGTGATGGTGGTGGTGGTGGTGGCTGAGCTAGAACTGGTGGTTTTCGTAGAGGAATGGTTTTGGGACTGGGGTTGGATTTCGGGGCTTACTTGTACCTCGCAGGGGGGTGGCGCACTCCTGTACGACGGCACAATTTTGAATGTCACGGATCCTCGAGCCTCCCGCTGAAACAAAAAAAATAATATAATTTTATATATTTAATACAATCGTTCTATCTAAAGTATATTATTAAAAGTGTCTCGAACGTGGTGGTACTCAATTTTTGTTTAAATTGATACTCCTCCACGCAAACTGCGGTGTTAAAGCGAATGAACTGTGTCTAATAGACTATTACTTTAATAACCCTCGTTAAGGCGACGTGAAACATTTTTATAGGAAATACCATAACCCATATCGATACTTTTACACGCCTTAGATATAGTATATATTTACGAAGAGTATCGATACGTCCTTTTATTACTTTGCAAAATTTATTCGTAAAATTACCAATCTCATAGTCAGATAGGTAAAGGTCTCAATGGCGAACGCAATTTCCATAAGGTCTGGATTACGATTAGAATTCGATTTCGTCCGAGTGCTTTTAACGTTAAAAGTTCAACAGAGCTATTCGCCATGTACCATTAACGCAGGGCGACAGCATTCTGGTCTGTCGATTCATTAAGTTTCTCATCCCTCGACATCACATATTATCTCGGCGAGGATGGGCTTATCGATTTTCAATGATCTTCAGTTTCGGTAGGGCGACGACGCATCGTTTAGAAATTCACTTTGAAGTTATTCTCCTCTTCGGTATTGTATTCACGTAAAGTATACAGGCTCTATAGAATGGATTCCGATAACAACGTTCTGATACACTCTAGAAATATATTCTAGGGTCCCTAGGAAGCATAAATGTGAACCTTGTTATCCAATGAGAAAGATAAGCACTGTTTATTTCATCGATCAAGTCTGCTTCATCCAAGAAATTGCTGACTAAGCTCGGGGAACAAACGGATCATGTAATTCAAAGGTGGCGTCGACGTCGGCGTCGGCGTCGTTGGCGAATTGTACGATATTCGATATCGTGCATGACACATTGTCTTGTCAAATCCTTTACAGTTTAATATATTAAACCCCGTCGATTCTTGTTATCGAGAAAGCGTAGGACACAGTAAAAGCACAGGATAACTCGAAATACGATAAAAATAAAATGTACGAAAAGGAAATTGAATTTCTGTTACGGTTGCATGAAAATTATTCGATACGATCATGCGAAGCGTTTGGTGTAAACTATATTTCTATAACTGTTCAATTTTTGTTCAGACCACCAAAGGATATATTTTATTTTAAAAAAATAATCTACTTCCGTCCTCAGGACATTACTTTTTTCTATTGACAATGTTTTTTTTTTATTATCAGAAATAAATGTCAATTCAAATTCGAGATATTTTTATTCATTCGAATCATACAGCAATAATAATGTCTCTTCATGGATAGTTTAACGTACACTTTCCGCCAGATTGGATATATCTTGTATCTATATCCACGAAAAAATTTTCTCAAACTCGCAGCGTGCAGTCGACCCAATATTAAATGTAAATATTAAATATAAAAAAATAGGCCGAGTGGTTCAAAGCAGTATTGTTAAGGGAATCGAAAAGTTTTCTCAATTGAGTTCGGCGTAGCCTAATATTTATCTTTCCGCTTCTACATGCTCCGTTCGCTTCGATGCAAAATGCCAATAGCAAGGGCCGCTAAGCGTAGATAAACGCGGTCTTAAACTTAACTTAAAGTAATTCAATTACGTTTGCAGCAGAACGTCGAAATAACAAAGATAATTGAATGCAGTTACTCACAAGTATCTTTTGTAAGGCGTTGACCGACTGATTGGCAACCGGTACTCCATTGATTTCTCGAATCTCATCGCCAACGTGAAGCGTCGCTTGTCTGTGAATCATTCCGCCGTGCATGATTCGCGCCACGACGCATTTCCCATCTTCGTTCATCTTAAGCGTGATTCCCTGCGAAAAGCAATGCAATATCATTCAAGACTGTTTTCAATTCATCGTTTTGGCGACAGTATGAGAAAACGCCCGGATAAACAATACTGTATACATGTATGACTATATTAAAATTTTTATGAAAATAAAAAGAGAATTTTCAATGGCGTCTTCACCTTTGAGATTCCTAAGGACCTCTTCAGTGATATGACTATTATATAGTCCTCTCTCTCTCTCTCTCTCTCTCTCTCTCTCTCTCTCTCTCTCTCTCTCTCTCTTTCCCTTGAAAGTTAGACCCTTTCAGTATAACAAAGGCGCATTATACCAAGAGTGGCGCATCCTTAAGCTTGAGATGATTGCCTGAAGTGGCAACGCACCAGGAGATTCGACCAAGAGATTTCCTAACGTTTCACTTGGCTTAGCCAACAGTTATGATACCTCAAGACTCATCCTCATCGAACATTTTACAAAGCTTACCATAGGCTCATCCGTATTCTTCTGGAACTGCACCAATCTGACTCGCGTTACGTTTTCCAAGTCTAGGTCACCGTTTTGTCCCTCCAGGTCGTCGCCCCCGTTCAGATAGGGAAGCAGGGGCGGCGGTGTTACCCTTATTGCCTCCTCCCCATACACCTCGTGGCCGGCCACGTCGTGCGCTTGTAACAGTGCCTGCAACAGGGCATGAAACAAAATTGCGATTTAAATATTCAATAGCGGAACTATAAGCTACCAATGGCTGCGCTGGACAGCTACTCGTGGGATCACGGATACCACTATAGAGTGGTGGTCCAGAATTTGTTACGCTTCTCTTGCGTTATTTGCAATTTCTATACAGATACGCCCCTGCATCGTCCACCAAGGATATTCTTGTCGATGCTGAACATTGTTATTGTTATTATTTCAGAAATTTTGTATTCTTCATGAATTATGCTGTTTTTTTTTTGGTCAATGCGAAATTAAAAAAAAAACAATTTCCTATGCGCACGTGAATGCAAGTCAATACTGCCTGATGCAACCTATTCATTTCATTCATCCCATCGTGGTTGTTTTATTGACACTATGATTTATCGAAATTGCATATGTTCCATCCAGTTTATTTGGACCATTCAGTTTCGTGTGTACTCTACTGTACGTAACTAAAATACAAATGTTTGGCAAGCGACCATTTGGAAGTTACCAGCATGGTGTGAACTATGTACCCGGTGTATATTTGAAAATTCATTCTGTACCCTGTTTCGGATAATCAGATAAGGTCTTTGAGGTCTAGTATAAATTTCTCTTAGGAAAGATATAGCAAAGACTTGTAATTAAACTATAGTCAATACAATCACCGTGTATTACAAAGCTTTGATCACTGTCGTAAATTACAATTTTCTTATTTACTCAATCATTACCAAACGTATGTCCTATGCAAGCATTGCACCGTGAGATTTGCAAAGAGCAAATAGAACTCTTGCGAAACTTCCTAGTGGCAAACGTATTCCTGGACTTCCCGGACGAGCGTGTAAAATCCTTGGACAAATGTACAGAGAGGAAAGTTCTTGCGGTCAAGAGGTTTGGTCCTCGAAACAAGTTGGCGCAGCTGCGGAGGCTGGGAGCGCAAGCCGGAAGGATTGCGCCGCAGCAGGTCGAGGTTAAAGAGTTAGGACACACAGTGAGCTTGGGTCTGACAAGGAACCATATACAAGGTGGCTGAAAAGCAATCGTCCAAAACGAAGGACAGTTTATTTTATATCTATTAGAAAATTGGAATTGTGGATGCTCCATAATGAAGGAGACAAGCCGCGACACCGCGAAAGCATAGCATGTCGTGAAAATGGGTTGGCTGCGAAATTCCGGATAATTTGTTGGAGGGGTGCCAGGATCTAAAGGGTATCGGAAAGCCTGGGAATTTCGCAAATAGGCAGGCCGGCAGACAACCCGACCGACCGACGTGCACCAAAGCGCACGAGGATCGTCCGATGAGTAATACCTATACGTATATAAGGGTAGGTAAATAGATATATATATATATATATAAGTGTGTATGTACATATGTATATATATAAAGCCAGGGGCGACTTATTTGAAACCCGGCCAAACTCGTCACCTGCACCTCGTTGATAGCCACTTCCAATTCCCGTGATGTTCACTGCAGGCCATCGACGTCTAATCTACGTGTAAATGTCTCCGGGGTAGAACAATAATGCCCACGGGTAAAATACCGAAAAAAGGATACACCCGTTATATCGTAAATCTTTATGTGCCTGTTATATTATTTACTGCGCGAGTAAGTCCAGTCGGTATGGATGACATCTACTTTACTTGGTACAGAAGATACAGGATCATTCGTATAAGATGACGCGACGCGGTGCTCCACAAGTTCGCCAACTTTGCAAAATATAATACGCCCGGCGGTGGTAAGCTCGAGACTCGGTGTCGTTAATTACGTTGGTTCATTACCCAGTCATTAATTAAAACATCGCGCCCCTGCAAGCCCACGTCCATTAAGTGTTTTTCTAGAAGAATTCACCGTGAGCCAAAAGGAACAATGGCTAGAGAGTTTTAGCTCCCCGAGCTGGGTGAACCTTTTCCCTGTTTACAGTAAAAAAAGAGAGTCCATCCCCTGTTCGTTATCGTGGATAAATATTATATCGTGATTACGTCATTTTTGACATTTCCACTGTCAAGAATACAATGCATCCCGATCTAAAGTAAATTCGGACTGATGACCCGGTCAACGTATCGGTGGGTCCATCGACAATACGGCCGGATCTATCGAATGATAACCCTACGATGTCCAATCTCATGGAATGCTATGTAGGCTGGCGAAGTAGTACAATGCAAAATCGAGAAAAAGTTTCAAAGATTCAGTCGGTCGTATAAAAGAAGTTGATATTCCAATGGCGCCTGTTACCTCGTAAAACAGAGGGACTCCGGCAGCGTGGCTGGCAACGTCCTTGTGATGAATGGACGCAGTTTCAACGTTCGAAGATGCGCTATAGATATTCGTCAATTTATCTATTTCTCGAAATCGCAGCCACCAAAACCGAGTTTAAATCAATCGAGTTTTCTCGACTACTGAGTTATCGTGCCGCCTTCGCTCTTACTATTCGACAGTTCGACGCAACAATTTGTCAGTGCGAGATCGTGAGTACTTGCATTAACGTGGGATGTACGAGAGATTGTGTCAAAAAAGAATTTCAAATGAAACTGATCAGCATAAAAAAAATTTTTAAAATGGGAAATAAGAAAATTTTCAAAAAATTACATATCTCATAAATTTTTCGAGTCTCACTGAAATATCAGTTCGGGATAACCTTTTCTTCAAATTATATAGTACATATATTCAATTTAAGGATATTATTAATATTACTGGGGTGACAATATTGTACTGGCTAATAAAAGTGAATTATATAACGCTTAGTTGTCTCTTCTATGACACGTAACATTTTGATTTAACGATTATGCGCAGTAAATTGCTTGTACGTTAGGTAATACTACATTAGGATGAAGCATGAAACATATATATTTTTATATGAGACTTTCGAAACGATTGATATTATTATTATTACCATTTTATTGTTATGGGTAATTAATAAACATGTTGAAGCAAAGGCTAAGAAAGATAATGTTAACGATTAGTAATTATTTCCGATATAGCAACCGTTATCTTTAATAACAAGAAGAAATTATGACACAGCAATAAAAAACAATATCAATTATTTTTGGGTCGATAAGAAACCAAATAGAGGACCGTTTAATTAAAGGGTGGGCAATGACTGAATTCGTAACCTTAATAAACTTCGTTCTGCTCGTATTTGTCGAATTCACACTGACGTAACGAAATCTCGACAATTACGAAAACAAAGGCATTTATACTGTGAGAATTTGTTTATAGCCGAACAGTTAACGAATGGAAAGTAAAATAACGTTGCCCCGTGAGTAACTAATTCTCATCAGGCATTGTATTCGCTCTACATAGACCCAACAGAACCCTTTGCGTGGTTTGTCCATTTATTATATTTTTTTATCATTCAAAGCCCCCTCCAGCTTAGCAACTCACATCGAGTGAGAAAAGCTAATATAGCACAGCCGAGTAAATGCCTTGTGAAAATAACCCTAAACGCTCTCATTTAAATGAGAGAATATACATATATAAACAACGTTAAGACCAATTGCTATCAATTAAGATCGAAAGACGAATTTTTTATATTAATATCAATACTTAATTTTCAATATAAAGTATCTATAAAAGACAGCAGTATTCTATACTTTTATATAAATCTTAATTTGATAATTATTTATTACAAAAATATCTAAAAATAATGAATACAGTGATTGATAAAAAGTTTATAATCAAAGTGTGGAACAATATTGATATTGAGAAAAATCAAGTCAATCTCACGAGACACGTGGTGTCAGAGTTTTAAGAGAATAGAAAAAGGTCGATAAGAAGAGATGGATGAAGAATTTTTGTATGTAGTGATAAGAGAGTCAGATTCATACATATAAACATGTATGTGGTATGGACGAAAATAAGGCCAAAGGATTCTGGCTAGTGCAGAAAGGAAAGGATGAAGGATAATACTCTCTATTCAGTCTCCTGCAGCATCCTTCACTTCCGGCTTTCAATAACTTTATCATACAGCCCATTCAAGGCAGGCCATGCGCGAAAGTATACTATTTCCGCACTTGTGACAGCAGATCTGACAGTCTGAAGTTGAAGCACGTTTTCTCTTCATAAGTAAAATTAGAGCCGTTTATAGTATTCCTTCCTGCCGAAACACGGTTCTTCATTCCTGATGAAATTTTCAAGTCCGCCTGACTCGTAACGTATTTTATTTCAATTTTAATGCCATTGTTCAATTAGTTTTGTTAATTTAAAATATTAATATTAATCCTATATGCTTCTGTAGATATGGCATAGAAATAATTTCTCTAAGTTCAAGAGAAATAAATGCGTCATAAAAAACATTAATGTATGTCAAGTTAAAGTTATGCTTGGCAGGATTTCTCGAAAAAAAAAAATAATTAAAGGGTTAACGGCTATGGAAATGGTGGCTGCTGACCGTAAATTTTCATGTGAAGTTTATAATTTTTACTAGTACCTGTACTTTCAATGCTTCGTAACAAGATCTACGTATACACAGATATACGTATTACGTTGATTACATAGAAACCTATAAACAAAAAGTATCTCTAAAGTTTTTAACAAAAATATCATAGAGAATAGTTTTCTTCAGTTTCGTTAAGCACTTTTCGAATTTTTGATATTAAAGAAATTTCGCAAAGTTTTCTTGTCACATTTTCCAACCACGTAACCACAACAACCCGTATTATTTTTAGTTAGCCAATTCTTGTATCCCTGATATAAAGAGCTTTCCAATGCTTTTTCTTACTGTAGATTCAGTCCAGTTTATACGTTGGTATGGTACTAGGATCTCGCATGTCTTTCGTTCTTACAATCTGCTACTATTGATCACTGGGCAATTGTATCATTAAGACGTATAGTCGATATTGAAGTGAACGCAGACGGTCATAGATCGAGCGGATTTCGTGACCCGTTAAAACTTCTAACGATATATCATTGCCGGCATCAATCAAATCAGGCAGTTGTGTATATAGTCGACAGCTTATATTGCAAAACTTGATAAAATTCACGAATAAGTGAATATGAAATAATATGA